CCCGTGGAGACCCACCAAATTCATGGACCGGGTTTGGTCAGACTTTCCTGGATGTGGGCCGGCCCACCGGCCCATGAAAAGCCTGAGTTATTCTGAATATCATCAGAATTAACCTAATAATATTTGCTCACAGTACATATTATTAGGTTTGAGGGCCCAGAATCCCATAACCATGGCCCCATCAGTACCTGGATATACAGCTTAACTATCTCTGTTTGCTGCATATCTCATTGTCATGCCCCCCAGATTCAAAGTTTCAAAAAAGCAGACCAAGGAAAGCCCCATGCCCACTGTGGAAAGTAAGGTGCGCCCTTGGAGATTTCTTACACTTCTCCGCTCCGCAACACGTCCTACTCCGGTTTGTTGTCCGGGGTAACTTGCTTGATGGTATTGTAGGTAGGTAAAATAAGTATTCTTTCACTTTTTTTGGTTGGTAATAATCTCACTCTTTCTATCTCTAACAATTCTTTAGGCTAATACACAATTCACTCCTAAGTCACTCTGTTTTTCTGATATGTTCTGAGTCATATGTTCCCCCTCTTTCTTTTCCCCTTCTACTCCAAACTCCACTCTTGCCAGCTATCCCACACCAAAGTTTCCTCCTGCTTCCCACACTGTCCTCCGCTGTCACTCCCTTGCACTCCGCTTGTCACCCCTCCGACGCCTGCCAGTCAGTGCACTCCTCCGGCTGCCCTTTGGATAGGTCTCCCACCGCCGCTTCTGCCTCTGGTCTGCTCTGAACCCTGCTTCCGCCTCTTGGTGCCCCCGCTCCTTTGTAGCCCCTCCGCAGTATACGCTAAACCCCAGTCCGCAGTCGGCCGTGAACCCCGGAGTCTGCCAGTGCCCGGATCCCCTGCAGCAAGCTTTTTTGGAACCTTGCGCATTCGGCCTGCTTTTCCATGCTTTCCCGCGCCTCGGAAAGCAAGAATTTCCACTAATGCGCTGCCGCTTTCCTCAGCTTGGGTGTGTAGCGTCAGCTCCGCATGCTTTCCGCATCAGCCGCGAGCATTCTGCATACGCCCAAACAATTGGGCCAAAGCTTTGGCTGCGGCGTGCTCTCACCACCACGCCGCCTCAAATGAGGATATCACAGTCATATCTGACTCCCCTCCGCAAACCCCAACCTCATCGACAGCAACTCCTCCACAACCAAGTGTCTCAGAGGACCCATTCAGCAATCCGACTGAAAAAATGATGAAATACAAGAAGCGCAAGACAACTAGTACATACCTAAATACAAGATTAAATACACAATAAGGCTTGATTACATATGAAATACATGATATCACTAGATCTATATATCATGCAATGGAAACACGGCCTACCAGCTCAGTCCCTTGAGTGGCCAAAGGTGAGAAAATAATACTCAGGCCAAAAAAAACACTTTTTGATGGGCAGACCCAAGAACTGCCCCGAGCCCAACTGTCTAGAAGCCGGGCGGGTTTGGGCATACTTTTTGGAATTATGGCCCAACCCGCCCTGCCCCGCATTTCAAGGCAGGGCAGGTTTGGGCATGGTTTTGGGCCCAAGCCCGGCCCATTGACAGCCTGAACTACACCCCAGGGGCAGTTCCTGCTGAGCCTGATTGTGGATCCCACGGATCACTGCCCCTCCGTGGAGCCAACAAGATCAGCTCTGTAAAGCTTTGGGAAGAGGTGATCTCGACGGCGGTTCCATGAACCAACTTTTTTTTGAAATTGGTTCCACAATCCCACACCCAAGCCAATGTGGAGCAGCTGGGCTTGTTGCTCACGTGTGGAGCAGGTGGGCTTGTTGCTCACGTTGATTCCACGACGGTGGACATTTGCTTCAGCTTCATCCAGGATCCACTGATGTGGGTCCTGATGTTCCGAAAGCTCAAGAAAATTTGTTTTTTTTTAAAGAATTGACAAAAAAAAACTTCAACAAATATTTTTTTTCATGGGTTAAGAAACAGGTGGGGGTGAGCTGGTGTGGTGGTGAAAAGAAGTTTGCCTTCCAAGTTGTCCTTGGCTGAGCGGTGAAGGGCCGATGCTTAGTCCTGGAAGCTGGTTGCATGTTTGATCTGCACCAGGTAGTTCTTTGGCAGGCCAGCCAGCAGCACCAGAACTTACTGATTGGTGACTCCAGGCTCCATGTGGACTTCACCTTGTGTCCATCAGGTGCCCACATGGTTGCAGGGGTGGAGTCCACAGAAAACTGTGGACCGTCAGCTGCTGGTCCAACCTACTGCAGTGGCCACTTGTGGGATCCACGGGCAATGTCAAACTGCACCCCAGGTGTAGAGATGGTCTTAGGGTATCTGTTGCAGATAACCGCCAGTGGATACGGATTTGAGTGCATATGTCCGCTTTTCCTTTTGAGGTTAAGCCTGCTAACATGATGTATCACCACAGTTTGGAGGTACTGTGCAGTTGAACCTAGACCAGTAAGACCCAACTACCCTGGCAGCCACAAGCATCTGTAGCCTAGTTGGTAAAGGCAGCACTCTAGTATGTGTCTCAGCTTAGCTGAGGTCGTGAGTTCGACTCTCACCAGACACATCTTCATTCTGTTTGTCTCTACATTTCCTCGAAATCCTGGCGGGTATCCGGGTATCTCGAGGGATACCCATCAGAGGGACCCTCTCAGTCCCAAAGTTGGTCAGGTTCAATGATACTGGAGTTGATTGGCGGGGGTCATGGATGTGATGTGTGTGCTTTTGGGGGTCAATTACCAAGGCAGACAATCCGGGTTCCCCATTGTTGCTGGCTCTGACAGCTTGGGCGTGATCTCAGAGCGTAGCAAGTGCCTCTGTCCAGATAGTCACAACCCAATCCAAGTAATTGTTTTCATGCCTTTACATAGGCTCTCCTTTGTAGCCAAGAGCTCAAGATGATTCCCATCCCTGGCCTAGACTTGACTTTGAGTAAGTCCTCAGTTCTGAACAGGTATGCCGTTATATCCATCATCAGACCTGAACATCAACACAATAGACAAAGGGGAGCTCAACAGGATTGCAATCAGGAAATCTAAGCATTGCTCTCTGCTGCTGCTACTGAAGGACCCATTTCGAGTGGAGAATGAACCTCCTCCACCTCACAAACCAGTATGAATTGATGATGATTATCCATCAATCCAGCTTGTCTGTCCTCTTCTCCCCCACAGGGTAATTGCTTGGACAGCTGAAGTACCTCCCACTATATACCAACTCACTGGGAGTGGCTCTCTCCGGTGGATACATTTGCCAGTGTCTTTTGCAACCTGGCTGATCCTCTGCGCCTTTTAATGATCATTGGTCTATGAAATAATTTGGATTCTAAGTTCTAAATCCCCATTGCATTTCTGGGTCTTGCTCTTTTTTCTTATCTTTTTCATCTTTCTCCTTTCTGCTTCTTTCTTCTTCTTTGTTCTTGATGGGGACCAATGTGATCACCTTTTACTATAAGAGGCTTCTTTCATCCAGCCTGACTCTCTTGATCCTGCTTGTCTTGTTCTAAACTCAATCTTACAGATTGAAAGCGACCATCACCAACTTGGACCAGAACAGTGCAACTCATTACTCCATCTGAGAAAAAAAAACCACAGCAAAAACTGATCCCATTCAGTATCAAAGAGAGGGTCCAAGAAAGCACGAAATCTCACTCTTATTTAAATTACTAAAATTAGTCGCTGGTTGACAAGGTACATGTACCTTGTCGGCCAGAAGGAAGACCCTCTGGTCAATTGTTGGCCGCCCCCTCCAACCACCCTTGGTTTAAGGGGTGGATATCCAAAGATACCCACTTGGATACCTGCTAAGGCGGAGGGATACCCACCAGCGGATAAAGATGTGGGTGCGGATGACTGATTCCCCTGAAAACGCAGCCGGATATCCGGATGCTTTGGGGCCATCTCTAATATAAACCCAAGGTACCTGCATTGGATTTCTATTTTATGGATTAAAATGAACACATTATAAATCGGTTGAATGCATCCCAGTTTAACTGAGATAAAGTCAACCCAGCCAATCATGCTGGTAGTGTGTTGGTTGAGAGTATCTGATTTAAACAGGGTGCAAAACTTCCCTTGTCTTGAGGGTTTCACAAGGTCTCACAGATTGGATTACATAAACTAAGGACTCATACTTCAAGTTCTGTCTCTTCCCCCTTTACCTAGATGTCACAGTTCTTTTCTCTCCCACCTAGGTGAGGAAGAAGGGTTGATGTCCCTTTCCCAGTTCTTACACTGGGGTGCTCTAAACCTAAGTAAACTTAGTTGCATCTCAACCAATGAGATATAAATCCAGGGCATACATCTACCTTGGATTTATGTGTCATTGGTTGGAATCCAACCAAGTTTGATATGATTGAGTGCATCTCAGTTGAACTGGGACACCTTCAACCCAGCCAATTATCTTGGTAATGGCAAATTAGTTGAGAGTAGTCATAATACTTATGGGTTGAGTTTCATTCCACATGTCTGTAATCATAAGTGTCAGCTTCTTGAGGATTCCTTCAATAGTAGATTCACATGAATCTTTCATAGTAGATTCACATCTTGTATATAAAATATGTACATTGATTATTACTCATGGTTATGCTGGATCTACACCAAGAAAACTACAAAAAGAACAAGAAATAAATGAAGTGGTAAGGGAAGGTTATAAGCGGGAAGAAGCAATAAAATGGAAGATCATGTTTCAACCTATCTTCACACATGTATATATAAATATGGGTTATCAAAAGAAGGTGAGGGGGGGGGGGGATCAGATACATATTTTCAAGAAAAAGAAGAGTTGGTGTTTTTCTTTGTGGGGGGTGGGCATTTAATTAATGAACAATCAGAAAAACAAGATAAAAACAAACAACAGAAAGAAAGTAGTAATTTAAAATAAAACACTGCCAACACCATTGGCTTGATTGAGGGTATACCAGTTTAACTGGGATGCACTCAATGAAATATAAATTCAAGGTGATTCATATTTAATTGGTTGAAATGCAACCAAATTTAACTTGGTTGAGTGAATCCTAGTTTAACTAGGATACCCTCAGCCTGGCTGATTATGTTGGCAGTGAAAACTAATCATAAGAAAAAGAAAAGAGATAGATCATTTTATCTAGCGCAAACATCACCAACCCAAAAAAATTCAATACCAGATGAAGAGGAAGAAGAAGAGGAAGGAAGCTCAGAACTTGGATTTATCCTTCTCCGAATGACTCTACCGAAAGCAGGAGGAACCGAAGCTGGATCAGAAGGAAGATTTGGATGATTATCGAGCTCAGAATGCGGGCGTCTGATGGCCCTAGGATTCGATCCAAGTTGGTGATCATGATTGGTTGTTCGAAGACGACTATCGATTGATGAAGGTTGACCATCTTCATCTTCATCTTCCTCTTCTTTGACCTCGATATCGTTCCTGAGATTGTCAATAGATGGGGTTGTGCTAAGATCTTCATGAGGAGTCTGAGGATTCTTCAGGGAATCTTTCTGATCTGGTGTTCTCGA